ATCTCTATCTCTATCTCTATCTCTATCTCTATCTCTATCTCTATCTCTATCTCTCTTTCTCGCATCCTCCCTCGCTCACTCTCTCTCTTTCTCCCTCTCTCCTTCAATTCTTCTCTCCTTCCTCTCTCTCCCTCTCTCGCTCTCTCACTCTCTCTTTCTCTTCCGTCCTCCTCTCTCTCCCACCCTCCCTCTTCCTCTCCTCATATTTCCACCTAAGAGAAAAGTGTAAAAGAAAATATATAAAAATATTAAAATGTTCATCTCCAGAGTAAACAGTGCTAGCCAAAAAAAAAAAGAAATTAAGGTCAACAAACCATTATAAATTGGTGGCGATTAAACCTAAATGAATTACTGTCAAATCATAACGTGACGTGGTTTAACAAGAGAGTGGGAGGGAGGGAGGGGAGGGAGGGAGAGGGAGGGAGGGAGGGAGAGAGGGGAAGGGGGAGGGAGAGAAGGAAAGGGGGGGAGGGGAAGGGGAGAGGGAGGGAGGGAGAGAAGAGAAGGAAAGGGGGAGGGGAAGGGGAGGGAGGGAGGGAGGGAGAGGAGGAGGGAGAGAAGAGAAGGAAAGGGGGAGGGGAAGGGGAGGGAGGGAGGGAGGGAGAGGGGGGGGAGGGAGAGAAGAGAAGGAAAGGGGGGAGGGGAAGGGGAAGGGGAAGGGGAGAGGGAGGAAGGGGAAGGAAGAGAAAGGGGAGGGGAAGGGGGGAGGGAGGGAGGGAGAGGAGGAGGGGGAGGGAGCGAAGAAAAGGAAAGGGGAAGTGGAGAAGGAGGAGGGAGAGAGTGGGGGGGGAAGGGAGAAGGGAGAGAAGAGAAGGAAAGGAGAAGGGGAAAGAGGAGAGGGAGGGAGAGGGAAGGAAGGAGGAAGAGAAGAGAAAGAGAAAAAGAAGGTGAGGGAGAGGGAGGAGGAGGACAAGGTGAGTGTGGTGTGATGATTTGCCGGATATGCTTGTAGGTTCAAGTGAAACCAGGGATCACTTATCAAGGCTATATTGAAGCACACGGCGGAGCACTGCGGTGTGCGACCGGACAGTCAGCTCGCTGGTGACGCTCTGCCTGAGACACGTTGTTACATGAACATGCCACTAGCAAACAAGTTGTTACAGGAACATGCCACTAGCAAACAAGTTGTTACAGGAACATGCCACTAGCAAACAAGTTGTTACAGGAACATGCCACTAGCAAACAAGTTGTTACAGGAACATGCCACTAGCAAACAAGTTGTTACATGAACATGCCACTAGCAAACAAGTTGTTACATGAACATGCCACTAGCAAACAAGTTGTTACAGGAACATGCCACTAGCAAACAAGTTGTTACATGTATGGAGGTAGATAGTTGCACGGTTCATATGATACAAAGGATGACACTCAATGGTGTACATGTTATGGTATGGTATATACACAGACACTAATATATTACAAATCTACAGTGAGGATGAAGGATGAGGGATGGGGGGAGGGAGGGATGGGGGGAGGGAGGGAGGGAGGGAGGGGGAGGGAGGGAGGGAGTGAGGGAGAGAGAAGGAAAGAGTGAGGAAAGAAGGCATGGAGATAGGGAGGGAAGGAGGAAGAGGGAAGAAGGAACGAAAAGATAGACAGACAGACAGATAGATAGACAGGCTGAAACAGATAAAATGAAAGAAACATGAGAGAAAAGAAATTTAGGGAGAAAATCAACAGAGATAATGAAAGAGAAAGAAAAACTGAAATGTATATATTTTATAAAATATGTAGTAATAAATAAATACATAAATAAATAAAAATATATATATATGTATATCGTACATAGTAACAGCTGGTGATAACGCTGAACTAAATGAATTAATCGTAGTTCAAATAAAACCCACAGGAAATGACGCTACAATAAATTGAAAGTAAAAAAGAAAGAAAATACATATATGTATATATATATATATCTCTATCTTACTGTCTATCTGTCTGTCTATCTGTCTGACTATCTGTCTATCTATTTATCTATTTATCTAGATTATTTATCTATCTATCTATATGTATATATATATGATAATAATAATGATAATAATTGTAAGAAAAGATGATAGTAAACTGCAATAATCCTTTCATTTTCTTTCTCTTTATCTTCGTCTTCTATTTGTTCTTTCTCGTTCCTGCCACTTATTCAAAAAGTCGTGCCTATTTACCACCACGATAAGGATAATCTGAAATAACTGCGGCATTACAATAATTTGATTAATTTCTCCTTTTCATCTTTTCTTTCACTCTCTCTCTCTCTCTCTCTCTTCTTCTTCTTCTTCTTCTTCTTCTTCTTTCTTCTTTCTTTCTTCCATCTTCCTTCTTCCTTCTTCCTCCTTCCTCCTTCCTTCTCCCTTCTCCCTCTTCCTCCTCTTTCCTGCCATCTCTAAAATTTCCAAAAATATTTATCTTAAAATAGATAAGGCAATCAGCTGTTTCTTTACGCAAGGTGGCTGAGGCAGTTATCGTGGAAGCCGACGATAATGGTCGAGCTTAATACTTTGGCGAT